GCGAGTAAAGTACTCATGAGGCCGATATCAAAGTCTATTCGGTTCCTTGTGGTCAACCTGACGATAAAGCTCTTTCCGGTTTTTCGGGTGAAGGGAATAGAACTTTCAACCACTGTAGTCATGTACAGCTTTATAATGTTAACAGCAGTTATACAAATCTCCTGAACTAAATACTAATCAGTCAGAAGTTTTAGCCAAAATATAAGAATAGAAAATACGTTCTTTTCGGAATTTTGAATTCTAAGGGATAGGTTTTTCTACGAATTTAAGAGAAAAACTACGACAGTATAGCAGTAATAGGCAGAAAGCGTACTCATGCCCATATCTCCCTCAACCTCAAGCCCGGGGCCATTGAAGCGGCCCCATGGCAATCAGCCAAGCCTGAAGCCCCATTGCTTTCATGCGTATTGACATAAGTTCAAGAGTAAAGGCGCTGTAGCACTGTATTGTTCTTTCGTGATGCGCCACGTGTTCCAATTTCAACCTGATTCGTAGAGTCATTTGAATAGTCCCTTGTAATCGTGACCTCTGAAAACCTGTTGAACAGAGCTACTACCCCTGAGTTTTGCCTTATCTTCTGAAAAACTAAAGGGATTGTGGGAGAAGGGACTCACCCGATAGGGTTGCTTTTTGTTTATTGGATAATTGTAGCCTGTAAAACGGTTCATAGAAAAGTCTAAAAGGTCATTACTTCGTTTTTTCGTAGCCATGATCCTTTTAATTCATTCATTTGAAGAAGACTTGTTTCTTTCTGAGTGTATCTGAACAGATTCCAGGCAATCATGTTCGCTTTTCTTGAAACCTGGACATTTGCTCTGGACTGATAGGTAGCATTCTAAATTTTCGAATGCTTTCAGACCTACAAGAACGACAAATTTGTCGAATCGTCAAGCATAATAAATGTTCCACCACTGAAATACCTGCCCAGCACATGAGCACTGGTTATCTATTGAATTTGGAAATTGTTAGTCGAGTTTCCCGTGGACCAGGGTGCTAGTGAAGGTTCAAAGTGGCCGGCTCGAATTTCCTATGCTACCAAGCCTAAGAGTATTAGTGGTTTCTAATAATCGTAAAATGAATTGGATTTTGGGCAGAAATATTTTCGTATTAGTACTCAACATTATACTCGAATTCAGGCTAATTGTGGATAAGCCATGTTTTCGGTGTTTGATTGTATCGTCAGAAACGGTGCATAAGTGGACCATTTTCGTTGTCAATAGGGAAACGAATCTGAAAAAGCGAAAGCCTTTGACCCCTGACCCATCATACTTCTTAGGAGAGTGATGACTACTTCTCCATGTTCAAATAAAATTTCGATGAAATCTCTTCGATTCGTCCTTCCCATCATTCATAAAAGAGAGATTTACACTTAATCCCTCTGGGATAAGGGAAAATATAAGAATAAGACACAGAAATAGAAAATAGAAGGCAACAGTGCTCTGCAATATGAGACTGCCTCTGTTGCTTATCAACGTCTCTGAGATTCGAACTGAAAATCGACTACAAGGCGCTTCTTCGAAGGGAGATTGATGAAAGCAAGTCCGAGATGTCTTTTTTTTGCCTGGGAAGTGGTCTCAACGTGCCATTCGATTCGGAAAATTGATGTTTGTTTGTCACATCCATTCCCGAACTAAATAATAATTTTTGGCTCCACCCAGAGGAATTGACGATTGTGTCAACTGGAGGGAAAGAATAGCACATGGCAACTCTGAACTAGGGATACCTTACAGATACTACTTAGGCAAAAGAGTCAAATTATGTTAACTGGAGAACATCATCATTATTATCCCAATTCCCAAGTTCTCTCCATGGAAAAAGCCCGGAGTTCTGAGAGATTGCTTTGTGAATCTCCAAGAAAGAAACTTTCAGGAGCCGTATTCGTACTAGTCACTATCACCTTGAAAAGTACCCGGAAAGGTAGTAAAATTCTACCAAAAGGTATAAAGGATTATAAGGAAGTATTTCTACCCAAAAAAGTTTCGAAAACTTGACAGGAAAAGCACAAGAAGCATACTGCCTACTCAGACGCACACAAGTTTTTGAAGTTAATGAAACCGTCATTCAATTGGCTTCCTTACCCCTCAATCTTACCTTTTTACCTTTTCCTTATCTCCAAACAAACTGTTACACATCTTTCTGGAATTCCATGGCCCAGGCTTATTCCTGACTGGAAGACACCATTTTGTGTTGAGCCCGTTGTTATAGGAAATACCTGATCGTAGGATCTTAAAAGCTCTTTCAGGCTGTCCTTTGAAGTGGCAATGAACGAAAGACCTGACAAGGCTCTAACCATTCATTTTCTTTTCTATACATATAGTTAATTCCGTATTCTTCGAGGCGTTCGTTTTTGTTGTCTGTCCATTGCCATCCCATTCAGTAGGGTGTTCGGCTGGCGTGTTACGAGCGCCCTCTAATGCTCGTTATTGTTCTTCGCGTTCGACCCCACCACCCGAGAGTGCTTTGGTCAAAGCCCCTAATGTGATGTGGTAGTAAGTCGGCCAGAAATAAGTGCTTTCTCTGAAAGCTTTCTTATCTGATGGGGATCATGAGAAAATTAAGGGCTGTAACAATTTTCTGCAGCTCTCAAAGACTAAAATTAGTCCTTTCTCTATAGGTTTGGTGGAGAGAACTGCAAAAGTAACGGAGCAAGGAAGTGGTGTCCGTTTCAACTTCTGAACCTCTTTTTTCCTGACCTAGCCCTTCGCATTGTATATATTAATCTTAGCAATTGTTTGATCTTTTCCGTCAACTGGATAGCGGCATCAAAGCAGGCGAAACATGGGAAGTAAACACATTTTGGACGGCTATAAATTCACTTCAGCAGACATCAAGGGCCAGCCATTATTGACGATCGAGGACATTGGTCCCATGAAAGTGATTGTTGCGTCCACATCCAGAAAACTAAAGGAAGCTTGAAAAACACTTGGGTCAGGGCATTACTCTGGCTATCCCAAAAAGGCTAGTTTCCCAGAAAGAAATCCAAAAAAATCGCAGTTGATTTTCAGAGCCCGAGAGTGAGCATCTGTAAAGGGATGACATTTCTGTGTTGAGGACCCTTTTCACCTATCTTTCCGTACTGCCTGTGGAGTTGAGGTGATGAGAAATGGTTCCACTAGTACACGCCTAGCTCTCCGTTACACAAACCAAGCTCAGCCAGTCATCGCCCTTTTCTTTTCACTGAAGGTCACTTCCTATGTAGGCCTACTTGTACCCTTCCTTTACATGAAGCAAAGCTGTACACTGACTTAATAGCTGGTAGCTGAAGCTTTTGTATGGACAAAACAAACTTACAATCGGACCTACAATTCTAAATTGAAGTCACATACAAAGCGTGGAACACTCTAAACAGTTCCTCCAATGCCAAGAATTTCGTGCTCGTTTTACTTCCCATATAGGGCAAGATAAGAACGAGTTTTAGATTTTACCTTTGGCTCCTCCTTTAATTACCGTCTCCTTTCATATATTCCCTTCGACTTTCTTAGATATACCGCAATTCTGGTGTTTCCTAAATTGGTGAACACTATACAAAGCACAAAGTGGGGTTTAAAAGATACCTCTTTTGACTGGCCAACTCGACGCACAGCTTTTTTCTGTTAAAAAAGAAGAGGTCGGGGTATTGCCTATTCGGATTACGGTATCCTTTTTTCGATCCTTGCAATTTTCGAGCTACATTTGTGCATATATGTTTTCCATCTGGCCATTCCTCGCATTCGTACTTTCTTAGATGGCTTTCTGTATGCTTCGACGAAAATTGAATCATGTCGGTGATCGTAAGCAATTTCGATCACCTCTCCATACATATCATTTTCTGCGTCATTGAATTAGGCTGGTGTGCAATCGTCAAGAGCCCCGGGGGGACATTTTCGCTTGCTAGACAGAAAGAGCGAATAATGTAGTGCTCCGATAAAAAGCCATATGCATATATGAAGGGAAAAAGAACGAAGAAGCGAGAGCTTGGCCCTAAAAAGGTTACTGTAGGGAAAAATGGATGGCAATTTTATAGGGGTCAAATTGGTGTTGAGGAGTTCTCACTGAGTGGGATGGAGGGTGAAGGGGAGGCGGAAAGACCATTTCAGAAGGCAACAATCCGATAAAATATTGCAGAGAAAGGTGGTATTCTTCACACACAGAAGTATAGCATAGAAAGCTTTACTATTATTATTATCACTATTATTATTATTATTATTATTATTATTATTATTACTATTACTATTATTACTTTACTATTATTATTGTTATTATTAATGTTCTTATTATTATTAGTATTATTGCTACTATTATTATTAGACTTCATTACCCATTTAATGAAAAGATATCAAAGCTACTCTCCTATTGCAAATGAAAAAGCGATCGCCTTTGATCAATATTTATGGGATAAGCCATGCATTTAGCCTCCACTAGGTATCGTAGCGATATCGTTTGCATGAATGTTTGGCCTATAGGGAACACTTTGCAGGGGCTAATACACAAGCAGATATTTTTATCCCCACAGTGCAGTAGGTGCTAAAGGCCTGTAAGTGATCCGACCTGTGGAAAAGGGGAGCTTCGTTTGCTCCGTCAACCAAGCCTTCCATCCATCTTTGGTCGACTAATTGGTAACAAGCTCGTCTAGGAGGTAAAAGCACTGGCTTGGGCGTTGACTAGCCACCGCAAGCCATTGTATAGGCCACATACGCATCCAAACACCACTGCGAATTTGAACAGAAGTCGAATGTAGAGCGCGTCCCAAAAATGAAATTCGATTAATAGGGTGGTAGATGCATTTTTGATAGTTCGAAGTTTCTCCTAATGCACTCCCAAGAATAAGAGCTCATAATAATTAGAAATTAATAATAGAACCAAAACCAATGGTGTGTTTTTAGAAATAGAAGTTAAGAGTTTACAATTATTAGAATCATTGAAATATTGGAATACATACTATAACTGGAGCAGTACTTTTATGTTCCCATAGCCGTAGTACGATGGAAAAATTTTTCTGGTGTAAACATAGAAGAGCAAACTTGCTTGCAGTATATTCCTGGTATTTCAGAAGTAATCACAACCTGGAAGAATGTCTACACCGTTGTAATAAGTCACAAGAAGCAGCTATACTTTTAGCAGGGATCAAATCATGGCAGGATGCTTGCGAACATCTAGAAGGTTAGTTCTCCCTGAGATATCCTTTAAGTATATACGCCTTTGTAGCTATTGCCAACTAACTTTTGCCCTATTTTGAACTAGTCAGTCATATAAATAATAATATAATAAAATAAATAATAATTAATAATTAATAAATAAATTAAAATTTCCAGAAGTTCGAGCTCAATTCCCATGCTGGCGAGAAAATGGCCACGAACTATCCCAGGCATGTCGACCACAGACCGTCAGTCTCAAGGAGAGTATGCATCAATTTGCACGAAATCAGTCACAGCAAAATATTCAGAACATTTGCAGGTAAACTGTGATCCCCATTGCTTTCCACTTCAAAACAACAACTTTTATTCGTTAAAAAAGCCTGGCGGCTATTGCATTCGTTTTTTTTTTTTTGACTATAATTGGCTTTTCATTGAAAAATTGCACCTCAATTGACTTTTCATAGACAAAATGACGGCATATTTTCAGTGATTATGACAAATTTTCAACGTGTTTTACTCAAGAACATGGAAAACTTTGTGGATATCGATCAGAAATCGTGAGTTCAAATCCAATGAGTACGATTTATTTTGAAAAAAAAACCCAAATATTTCATAAGCAAATGAATCCATACGAATTTCAAAAAAAGAATTACGGTGCTACGCAACTACTCAAGGTATTTTTAAACAAAAAATATGCCCAAAAAGTTGAATTTACATCATTTTCCTCATCAAAATCTAAGCGGACAAGCATGGGTTGGAGCAGTGGGGAGCTATTACCTACCATACGTAGGAACTGGGATTATTCCTCGGAAGTTCTCCCCGAAGCAACAGCCTTTCCACATTTCCAGGGTTACTAACTTCCTTGATGGGTCCAAAACGCTAATATTTTGGTGAGAAAGCCCCCTGAAAGTATTGGGTGAGCCAATTAGACATCTAATTACCTCAGAGACTTTGAGAATGGGTTGGATGCGTGGCGCGTTCCCGAGAAAAGCATTGGCCAAGCTGGATGAACTTTTTAATTACATGCTTCGACATTAATGCATTATACTTATGAATAGCACTGTATAATTAGCACAATTGGACTAGCAGCTGAACGATTCCGTGAAATTTGAAGCCACTTCCGTATCAGGTTGCTTTGAGGCAATTGTTGGGGTCGTTGATTCGTTTACTCCATAACCACTTAATTACTCATTGGAATTCACGCTTACCCTTTTCCAATGACGGAGTTCGTAAATAGGAGCGTTGGAGACTAGTCTAAGATCTTGCAAGAAACATGTATTTTTCAAAAAATCCCAGCTGGGATCACTTCAATTTAAAAAGGGTCCTTAAATTTCCCTACCGAAGAATTCATGTCTTCATAAAACTCAGAAGGTCACCAGGAGGTTATCTAAGAAATGGACCCAGTTCAGGGCATAGTATGAATGAGACTGAAAGAAAAGTCACATTAAAATACTGGCTTTGGAATTTTCAGAAATTCTTCCATCACTTGCTTGGGGTAGGAGGACGAAGAGTAGTGTGGTCTATGCTTCGCCCACCTATACATACTTAGTCCCCTTTCTCAGCTAAATTCTCTCGAACACGGTTGATTTTTATTGACAGACGTAGAGAATTAGCCAATTATGGTACACGGTAGAATCTTGAATCGTTCCCTGCAGACATAATTTTTACTCAATACGTCAGCTTCCCTCCGAGAAAACCCTAAGTCAAAATAATCGTCAACCACTCACCTCAAACATGAAGGCGGGTATGGACAAATAGCTTCATACATCAAATCAAGTATCTGAACGAATTCCACCCAAAAAATTTTCTTGAGCCATCCATCGTTTCTAGGCAGGTTAGTGGTTGACTTTTATATCAGATGGCCCTGTAATTCAATGTGCTAGCCAGAAACGAAATCCATTGAGACAGCTGTCCTGAACGGATGAGGGATGTATGGCGGATCTCATCAGAAATCCCACCCATGTCGAGTAAAAAACTTCGACTTGAACTTGAAATAAATTAAAAGTTTAAAAGAATAGAAGGAAAGTTTTTATGTAGGTATAACCTTTCACAGCCTGTTCCTTAGCGTTAACCTTCCTCATAAAAAAAGGCATAGACTTGGGAAAATACCACTAAAAGTTAGAAGAAGGATGCTAGAAGGAATTTATTTATCAGGTAATTTCGTGAAAAAGACCTGGTTTTGAGAAGTAAACAACTCAGTATTCAAGCGTAAACAGTTTTTTTTAATAAAAATAGAATTTCAGATAACTGGCCGTATGTTTCACAATAATAGAGAAGCGATGTTCAACATGTTGAAAATTCGATGGTCCACCCTACCAACACAGTGCGGCTATTCACATTTGAGAAGAGATACCTATTCAAGTGAAAAGTACTCGGTTTTTAGAAATTCAAATCATCATCGATATCTTACTGTAATTGCTACAGTAATCCTATGGTTACAATTCTCACTGTAGTAAATCTAAGTTGTTGGGTAGCTATATTAGTATAGTTAGTGACAGATTTCCGTTTGTTATCGGTTCTATACCATGTATTTTCATGTGTTTCATATCAACATGACAGGTAATCGTACTTATAATTGAGCTTGTTCTACCTTTAATTGATAATTTCAAATATATGCCTCTGTTATTGCTTTTTTGTGCAATAAACATA